GTTCCACTTTGCCTCTAAAATTATGGGGGTGTTTGGAACTGATTCTGCTGTTGTTTCTTTTTTAAAGCAGAAGCAGAAACACAATCAGTTTTCAGAAGCTGGTACCAACCAGCTTCTAAAAGAACTGATTCTGGGAGTAAATTAGAGCACCGGAAGTGCTTCTGGATTTCACCCAAACACTCCAGCTTCTGCTTCTGCTCCTTGAATGAGTAGAATCAGTTTTGAGAATCAGATCCAAACACCCCTATATTGTCTTGTCTTGATGCTTTCCTTGCCTTGAACACTCACTAATGACTAAACAACCCACTCAACCAAAGCATTCCGACGACAAAGGGCAAAGGACTGCGTAAAGCCTTTGGACACCGAGAAATAAAACAAAAAAGTATGAGAAATAGTTAAACAATCAAATTCAATCATTTCATCCAATTAAAATTAAAAGTAATTTTTATATTTACTATTTTGATCAGTGTAATACGTAGTACTCCCTCCGTCCCATTTATATTGTCCCGGAAGAGGGTGGCACGGTTATTAAGAAAAGTGAGTTTGTGTGGTTGATATTAATTGATAAAGTAAGAATAAAGTAAGAATGATTTAGAGCCACACAAACTTTGCCAAATATGGAATGGGACAGTATAAGTGGGACTTCCCAAAAAGGTAAAATGGGACAAAATAAATGGGACGGAGGGGGTATAATTCAATATGATATATTAAAAAAATTATGTTTAGTAAAAAAGTTATGAAATTTGGAGTAATTCACAACTATTTGTCGCCAATATCTGCTCGACTTCCCTTCCTCTCAGTCATATTGAGTTGAGATTTCAAGTTTAGAGCTCGTTTGATAGTACTCAAATTGGATAAATCGATTGATTCGAATAAAATCTATGAAGTTATCGTTGAAATGGTTAGATTGATCGATTCTGCTAAATTATGGAAAAATACATTTCAAATATATTTTATGAATAAAATAAAGAAAACAATGTATGAAAAATATTTAAAATGGTCCTCTATAAAAACTTTTGTCAATTTAGTTAGAAAAGTAATTTCATTCTTACTTATTGTGATTATTATACAATTCAGTGCATGAAATAAAAAATTATGTGTTTGTTTAAAAAATAGATTGATATGCTAAAAACAGAGTTATCAAAAGGGCACTTAATCTCCAAAAATGGCATTGTGTCAAGTGCACCAAATTCTCAGCCATCTTAGGATGTTTTTACTTGGACTGTAATTTGCTGGTCTGGTCTGGTCTGGTCTGATCTGGTCTGGTCTGGTCTGAACTGGTCTGGTCTGGTCTGGTCTGGTTTCTTTGTATTTTTATAACTATCCAAGTCTGGTCTGGTCTGGTCTGAACTGGTCTGGTCTGGTCTGGACTGGTCTGGTCTGGTCTGGTCTGGTCTGCTCTGGTCTGGGGCAAATTACAGTCCAAGTAAAAACATCCTTACTCCAAAATAGATTTGGATTATACGGGGCAGCCCTGGGGGTAGGGAACGGGGCTCTTATTCCCAAAAAATGAAAAAAATTATGCCCACATTTATTTCCGTATAAATGTGTGAGTAGACTGATTTTTCAGTTCTAAACTAATACTACCTCTGTCCCACTAAGATTGGGACGAGAGAAGGTGGCACGATTATTAAGAAAAGTGAGTTTGTGTGGTTAATATTAAATTGATAAAGTAAGAATAAAGTGAGAATGATTTAGAGCCACACAATCTTTACCAAATTTGGTATGAGACAATCTTAGTGAGACTTCGCAAAACGGTAAAATGAGACAATTTTAGCATGACGGAGGGAGTAATAATTTGGAATAAATTTTTTAAAAATTTATGAGCATGTTCTTTATAAAATGTAAATTATGTTCATAAAATTTCAATTTCAAATTCAATATGGATGTTAGTTAAATAAAGGGACAGTTCCCGAAATAGGACTAAAACAGTTTAAAAATTTCAAAATAGGACTGTCATGTTTTTTCGAAAATAGGAGTAATTACTGCCAAGTTTGGAAAATGTTGTCATGTTGAAGTCTGGTATTGCCAAAACATGGCAGTAATTAGTCCTATTTTTTAAATAAAACCATGACAGCCCTATTTTGGAATTTTCAAACCTTTTTAGTTCTATTTCGGATAATATTCTCTTAAATAAATTATTGAAAAATATTTTTAAATATTGAACTATAAACTATTAAACATTATCTACATTTAAAGAAAAACATGTTCACAAAATTTTATTATAAAAACCACGCAGATTAGTCATACGATAGTATATGATTACTTCATTAGTTTATTTGATTAGTCATAATTGATTATTAAATTTCTTACTTATTGATTGATATCTATTGAGTTTTGGGGTTTTAGTTTGTTGATTTTGTTCGCCAAAAATTTAAATTTATAAATTTAATCAATTTCAAGGTGTAATAAATATGATTGAATTTGAATAGGAAAAAAAAGAGGAGAATATCATAGAAAGAGTTCAATTGAAAAAATTACTAGTACTTAATTAAATAGGTCAAATTCTAAATGTTCTCCTCCCGATGAAAACTCAGAGAAGAAAAATGATTTAGCTATCGAAAATGAGATGATTCATAACGATCGCATCATTCGACAGGAAGTTTAGACATTTATAATAACAGAGTTAATTTCTTAAATAAAAAAGAACATTGGTAAAATCTACAAGTAGAGCCGTTATTATTTCCTTCCTAAATAAAGATCATCATTACTATAATATTATTGATATAGACAGAAGAGGGTTTTAGAAATTTTTATAAATGTTTTGAAATACTACTATTATTATTATTATTTTACATATTAGTTTAGTCTAAAATAGTTTAGTCTAAAATTGCTTATCGGTGGCTAGGGGGCCCGAGGATTTCACTTTGCAGATAACAGTCTATTATTTTTTCAGGCCAGTCATGATGAGGCATCTGTTGTTAAGGCAATCTTGATGGAGTACGAGAAGGCTTATGGTCAGGCAATATAGGGAAGGGCTGGCTGAGATGTTGGGAGTGGGTATGGCCGATTCAGGAGAAAAATATCTGGGATTACCAGCGTTTGTGGGAAAAGAGAAGAAGGAAATTCTTGGTTATTTGAGGCAAAGGGTTATTAATCGAATCCAAAATTGGAATAATAAGTTCCTGTCTGATGTCTAGGGCCGGGAGGGAGGTGCTGCTTAAGACAGTTATTCTAAGCGATGTCCACCTATGTCATGAATGTGTTTCTTTTACCAAGAGAACTATGTCGAGAATTAGAGGTTATTATGAATGGATACTGGTGGAATGTCGGGAATGGCAGAGGAATCAGGTGGTGGGATTGGGACTGGTTAAGCAGGCCGAAGAAGTTGGGAGGTTTGGGTTTTCGGAAGCTTGGAGAATTCAACATCTCTATGCTCGCTAAACAGGCGTGGAGGCTTTTTTCTGAGCCGGGTTCTTTAGTGGGGAGAATCTTTAAAGCAAGATACTATCCCGGTGGTAATTTTTTGACTGCTAAATTGGGTTCTAACCTCTCTTTTGTGTGGAGAAGTATTTTTTAGGCCCAATGTGTGATTAAAGAGGGATACGTGTGGCAAATTGGCAATGGCAGAGAAATTAATATATGGAACAACCCCTGGCTCCAGATAACCCGTATGTGTCTTCTGAAGTCATTGCAGGTTTGGAAAATGTGACGGTAGAGGGGCTGATTTCACGGCAGGAGCAGACCTGGGACATGGACAGGGGCGGACTTACGTTGAAAGGAGGGGGGCAGGTGCCCCCAATAAAGATCCACTAATCTCACAGAATACATTATAATAAATATGTATATGATTAAGAAAATCAAATGTTTGCCCCCAACAAAATAATGGGCTTGCCCCCAATAACCCACGACGTGTGCATTTGGAGCACCGATATATATTCAAGGGATGAGTCGGAGTGTGTGCAAATAAACGTTCTTGACTCTTTAATGTGCTCATTTTCTTTGTACTCTCGAGGTCTAAGTAAAGAAGCAATTGAGTCATATCATTGAGAATTTGAGAGGCTGAAAATCCAAAGTTTCAAGTTTTTTTTAACTACTTACACACTTTCTTTGAACGGCCAGTGCACTTTAAATGCATTTTTATGTAATAATACCAATAATATATTTATCCTAATTAACTTATCTAATATAGTGATATATGGTAGCTTGGAAAATATGTTACTAGGATGAAAGTGTTATTAGGTAGTCAATCTAAATTTATTATATGTAATTCAATTTGGCACGCAACCAACAAAATGTATATAAAATTGTATTTCGACAGTTAAGATAGTCTACAAAATCAGGATAACAATGTTATTAAAGTAGTAAGCAAATCATAAAAAACATAAGTGGCATGCTATTTTAGATATTTAATGGAAAAAAATATTGAAAAGCATAATATTTCAAAGATTAAAACAACATATTAGTTTCATTTTTAATTCTTGAATTGGTCTATCACCACTGTAATATTTAACAGGATGTTCTATTTAAGTAGTGAAGATCTTATATCTTATACGTAGTATAAAAAAAACGATGAAGAATAACTTTCAAAAGATGAAAACCATCTTAATAGGAGAAGTTGTGAATTAGAGAAGTTGTGAATTTCTTTGTTAAGGGCTTTAACCCTCATTTATTTTACTTTAGGGAAAGTTCATGAAATAATTGTAAACGGATCTTGTAATCTAAAATAGAAGTGTTATGTTTTTCTTTCTGAAATAAGAGCAACATGACAGTGTTCACTGCCATCTTGGAGTAATTATTGTCAAATAATTGCATTACTAGGTATTAACATGACAATATTTAGTTAATTATAAGTATTTTTCAATCATGGATGGCAATAATGATTTAAATTTTTTGAAAAAAAAATATCCATTTTATTTTGAAATTCCAAAACATGTTTACTCCTGTCTAGAGCAATTTTCTTTCACTTTTTTTTGTTTGATGTATTTTAGTATTGAATTTGCCCCCAACATGTTTAATTCCTAGATCCGCCACTGGACATGGATATTTTAGAGGATCTCTTTAATACAAGGGATAAGAATGTGATTAAAAGCATCCCTTTTAGTGTGAGAGAGGTATCGGACAGGAGGATTTGAAGGTGGGAAGTAAATGGCAGATTCTCTGTTCGAAGCTGTTATCGGAGATTATAGGTGAAGCTCATCCCGACGGGTGGTTAGGGTGGACGGAGTTTTGGAATTGGAAACTTCCACCCAAAAAAAAATCTTTTTTCTGGCAACTTTGTACAGACAACCTGCCAACCACGAGGAACTTACGTCGGCGGAGGGTAAACTACGTGGAGAGATGTGGTTTGTGCGGTGCAAATGATGAATCATGTCTCCATCTATTTGTCAGATGCCCGGTGGCTGTTGAGGGCTGGGTTTCTGTTGGATTGGGTTCAATTGGAGCTGCAGGGATGAGTTTCTTACACTGGCTGGAGGGGTTTTTTTTTACGAGGAAAGCAGAGTTGGAGACTGTTGTGTGGGGATGCTGGGGGCTGTGGGCGGAGAGAAATGCACGGATTTGGCAGCAGACCATGCTGAGTGCTCCTCAGGTTATGCGCAAGTCCAGGTGCTATGTAGAGGGTTGGCTCCAGGCACAGAAGCTAGGGAATTCTGGAGACATCAGGAGGGAAGAAGGAGTTGTGCTTTGTCGGCTTCCGTCGTCGGGCTGGCAGAAACTAAATATTGATGCAGCTCGGAACCAGAACGGGAGCGGATATGGCTGGGTGCTTCGTAATGACCATGGAGAGTTTGTGGGGGAGGGGCAAAACCCGGTTTAGGCAGCTGCTCATCTATAGAGGCGGAATTATTGAGCATCCCGGAAGCTCTGAGCTGGGTGGGATTTCATAGAGGTTGAATTTGATGCTTCTCAAGTTATCTCGGAGATTCAGAATGGGTCAAGTCTGGCTGCAATTGGTATTCTAGCTGAGGATATTCGTCATTTTAGTCAAAGGTTTTCTAATATTTCCTTTACTTTCGTTAGACGTTCAGCGAACAAGGTTGCTTATGCATCGGCTAGAGTAGCTAGTTCTTTGTCTGGAGGTCGCATATGGTTGGGTGTTCCCCCAAATTGTATTCGTGATGTTTGTGCCAAGTAGATTATTTTCCTTCAAAAAGATTAGACACGTTTTAATTCTTTGCCGCTAAGTTTTCAAATATGTTGGACCGGATATTATAACACGGTTTACTCCTTCACTAAAAAAATAAAAAAAAAATGACACTTCATCACTTAAGGCTTTTCAGGACTGATCAAACAGTTATCTAAATGTATATAATTAAACTTTGATCTCATTCTGATTGAGTGAGGCTTCATCCCAAGTTATAGCTCGGAATTGCACCCGGAACTTCTCCCTTCACGATTTAGGATGTTTTCTTTTGAATTGAAATTTGCTGATCTGATCTGTTCTGGTTAGAACCGGTCTGGTAAACGTTTGGTTTCTATATATTTTATAACTACAGAAGTCTAGTGTGTTCTACGACGGAAAAGAGTCTAAAAGAAAGCATCTTTGCTCAGTTGCTCCTTCCCTATTTGGCCCGGAAGTTTCCTAGTCTGCTATTCCGGGTTGGGTGTGGGGCACCAGCTGTCCACCGGCAAACTTTTTGGACTTTGATACTGGCAATGGAGAAGTGTCTCATCAATGGCGACACTTGGATCATCAAAAAGTTTATGGATTTTCAATTTTATTATTATCATTCTTTTATCACTTCTTTTTCACATAAAATTAAGTTTATACTACGTATAAAATCTCCTAAACAAAATCCACCGAGATCACATATGTATCAGACAATAAAATTAACAAAATCGAATTCAATCCATTAATAATAAATGATGCTACCTTAAAAGATCTAAGAAAAATCGAAGTTACATCTAGATGCTATAAATCAATCTTCAGAGGCGGATACTATACTACCATCATCGCCGTCGAATTCCTCTCGGATAGAGAAAATCATCGACTTATGCCTCCGCTGCGCGATGCCGCCGGTTGCGGCGGATACGGTGGACGGGGAAGAGCACGGTGATGGCGATTGGGAGGCGGAAGCGGAGGCGGCGAAAGCCAGACACCCCTCGCTCCAGGAACGTCGGATGGGGTACGAGACGTGGGTGCACTTGGAGGAGGAGGAATGCGAGCAATGGCCACGCGATTTGTGCAACGCGCAGCCGCAGTTCTTATGGTAGGGGCGGCGCTGGATGCCGGTGTCGTGCCCGGCGATGCTGGCCTCGAACATCCCGCGTAGTAGTCCGTCGCCGGCTGCTCCGGCGGCCATCTCCCCAACCGCACGCGCTCGCCGCCGCGTCTATATATACCTCTTGAGAATAGAATAGAATTTTTCTTCACAATTATACGGAGTTTATTTAATTTATGCTTTTTGGAATGAAATTTTTTAGGAGAGATGGAGAAAGAGGGTTAAATAAGAAAGAGGAGAGAAGATGGGTAAGCTATAAGCGGCGTAGCTGAGCTAAATAAATAGGGCGAAAAGGAAGAAGGTGGGGAGGTGGTGGTTATTATGACGGTTTAATTAGCTAAACTGATTTGTCGCCGCCGTGTGCGGGACTTTTAATTTCCTAAAGGGAAAAGGGTTTGCCGTTATGCATCATTGGAGTTAATTAATACCCGGTCATACCCAACTGTGTTTTACACTCGAACTAATTTTTCATCAGTATAAGTGTTTTATAAAAAGGAAAAATGGAAACTAATAATCCAACCTTTTAGCGGTCTTCTTTCAATAATCTCACCTTTTGATTATTCATGAATAATCCAACCTTTGCACCTCATCTTCATTCACTGGTCCCTGACCGGTTGATGACCTGCTATTCCAAGCTATTTTCTTATCTTTGCAAATCATTATACCATAAATCTCATCTTTCACAAAGATAATATTTTGGAAAGATGAGAAAATAATTTGGAATAGTAGGTCATTAACCGACCAGGGACCAATGAATGAAGATGAGGTGCAAAGGTCGGATTATTCATGAATAATCAAAAGGTGGGATTATTGAAAGAAGACCGCTAAAAGGTTGGATTATTAGTTTCCATTTTCCCTTATAAAAAAAAGGATGACTCCACATCCCTCAGAGCCCCCCAACACCGACCGGACGGCACGATGGGAGAATGTAAATTGGATTAGAATTACAATTTGACAGATAGAGAGGGGCTCTGTCCCCGGTACTTGCAGAAGCTCTATGTATTTTTCAGCATAGTAACCCCTCATCGATAAGTGTTTTATAGGAATTACCAAGTATTGCTTCAGTTCAACTAACATTGGGATTTGGGGTATGAGAATGTCACCAGGTTATTAAATTGAATAAAGTCAGAATAATTTAGAACTATACAAACTTTACTGAATTGGATTTTTGGCAATCTTAATGGGACGGACTGAAAAAGAAAGATTGGAACAATCTTAACGAGACGAAAGGAATATATTATTGGAAAGATTTAGAAAACTAGTATGAGACATCTTTTACAAAATGTTAATGGATAGGTATGTATTGCACTGGAATTAGAATTATTGTCAAGTTGAATCCCAACACAATACATATTTGATTTGATCATATCTTTTGTCCTTCATATTTTGGTTAGTTGCTTTACTTTTTGTTTTGATTTGTGTCAAAATGAATTTCATTTTTCATTTTCCCTGAATGTAGAGTGCTCTTGTTCGGTAGTTGTTCCGCATCTCTTAAAGGGTCCTACTAATTTGAATGAAAGACCAATTGCTAACAATAAAACCAATAATAAACGAAGAAGAAAATAAGTTAACTATATAGAAATGGTTTGATATAGAATCAAAACATACTCTTAGTGAAAAAATATGACTAAGTATATTTTATTCCCCAAATAGTACTTATTTAGTCCTACTGAAAGAATAAATCTATGTTGCTTGGAAACGCGAAAATTATGAAGAAACGGGAAACGACAATTTTTGTTCAAAAAACAACCATTTGGAGATTTCACTTTTCCGAAAGGAAACATACTCTTTTCCGAGAATTTCCATGTTACGTAGGAATAAATTGATTGAAGCTTGAGATATTACCCGAAATAGGACTAAAAGAGTTAGAAAATTCCAAAATAGGACTACCATGTTTTTATTCTCAAAATAGGACTAATTACTGTCATGTTTGGCAGTACCAGACTTCAAACTTGACAGTATTTTCCAAACTTGGCAGTAATTACTCCTATTTTGGGAATAAAAACATGGCAGCCCTATTTTGGAATTTCCAAACTTTTTTAGTCCTATTTCGAGAACTTTCCTTTAAAACTTCCAAAAAAAAAGTGAATGAGTCATATTTTGAGAATTAAATAATGATACTCCTATGTATGAATATTAACATTATTTTAATCCTATTTAGAAACTTTCTCTTAAACTGGTATATTTTAGTTTGGAATTAGTTTGGTTAATAATGAAAATTTTAAATAATAAATATAGAATGTCTTGAATCTAGTAGTGAGGTGGGTCAATGATTGGGCTTGACCGATTCCAGAAGGCGACGACGCCTGAATCTTCCTATGCCATGCTAACTTGCTAAGCTAGTAAATAACGTGTTGAGCACTGGCGCATGCTGCCTCAGCTCTGTCTAAAGCGGTGCCGGGTCCATAATAACAACCTACTACTATTACTTTTCTGTATTAATGCTAATTAATTAAATTTTTACGAAAATATGGTTGGGTAAAAGTATTACCGATATACTATTGGACTTATCCCTGGTCGGAGTAAGTCGCCAAACGGTTGGGCGACTTATAAGTCGCCATCCGGTTTGGCGACTTATGAGTCGCCCAACCGTTTGGCGACTTACCTATTAAATAGGCAGACGGGTTGGTTCTAATAATATAATATTTAGGGATTACTTTGTAATTCTTCATAACTCTGTTATTATAAATATAAGATTAAGGCACCCAATAGGGTAAGCCATTATTCCCCAATTATATTTTCGTATATGGTATCAGTAGTCTAGGTTTTCCATTCTCTTTCACGCTACACCATGGCCGGTCTTCCTCGTACTGCCGTCATGACCTCGGCGCCCTTCCAGCAGGAGCAGCCGTCCTCCACATGACTCAGTTCTTCCCAGACTATTATCGCGACCTCCTCAGCGCCCATTTCAACGGAGCAGCGAATCCCGTTAAGTCTCGATCGTGCAATAGGCGGAGGTTCTTCCATTGAAGAAGGTTCCAGCAGTGCAGTTCGTTCCAGCCCTTTTTCCTCGCCGCTGGTTCCATCAATTCGTCACCAGATGACAGACATTCCGTCGTTGGACGCTTACAATCTCTTTAACATGCCGCCGCCATTCACCTGGACTCCGACAGCCAGTCTTCCTCCACCGTCGGTGATGAATGTTCCAGCAGCTGGTCCGTCCGCTGTGAGATTTGCTGGGCCGACTTTCACTACCCCAACACTCTCACATGTTCAACCGCAAGCACAGGCTCTGGCCGAGACCAACTCTGCACATCTCCCAGGTTCCTTATCAGTTTTGTCTTCCCAATTAACGTTCTCAACGCCCAATGTGACTAATATTGTTACCACCCGACTGTCTGTCGTTGAGGATTACATGCCATGGCGTATCCAATTTGAGTCCTTCCTGATATCTCACAGTCTCATTGGGATACTAGATGGCTCAATTCGAGTACCGCTTGTTACTGATCCAGACTATCCCCACTTGTTGAAAATAAACCAAACGGTTAGATCTTGGATTTTTGCTACTTTGGCTAGGGATATTTTGATGGAAGTATGACTTGAAACATTCCTATCTTATCTGGGAGCGTCTTGAATCGCATTTTATGTCTGCCTGTTTTGCTCGGTCTGTTGAACTTAAGCGGTCGTTGTCACACATTAAAAAGAAAGAGTCACAGACCATGGATCAATATTTGTTAGAAATCAAGTTGAGTGCTGATGCTCTTGCTATGATTAATTCTCCTGTTGGTAACCGTGATTTAATGGAGTATGCTATTTTGGGATTGGGCCGTGAGTTTGAACACCTTATCACGACTATATCTTATTTTCCTGCGAATGTTACACTTGAATCTCTGCGCCCGATTCTTCAAGCACAGGAGAACCGGTCCACTTCCAATCCATCTCAGGACCAATTCCATGTTCATCAGGCATCTTCGTATAGGTTCTGCCAGAC